TCCCTCATAACACATTCTTCAACCTGACATTTGAATATTTATCTACCATTTCCCTCTCTCTTCTCTTGAGGATGCCAAGATAATCTGTGCAGGAGAAAGCAAAGGAGTTGCTATCATTTCACCAAAGACAAAGGATGATTTTAGAAAAGGCATTTCATGTTGTTAAAAACTAAAAATAAGGGGAAATGCCACAGAGCCTGTGTTAAATTCAAGACAGAAAGGAGTAGTAGCACATCAAGAGCTCTATGTAATTTATATCAGTATGTCCTGCATTTTGACTTTAACTACATTTAGGTTTTCATCTTTTAGTTTCAGAAGTATTGAGCAGCTAAGACAGAAGAAGCAGTTCATTTTTCACAGTGTGTTTTAATTTGCAGCAATCTCAAGAGGATTTGAGTAAGCATGGCTTACACTCAGTTCAGCTTTTGTTCTTGATTGAGAATTAATTACGCTTTTCTGGCAACATTAAACGTGTTATGCTAGAGTGCAATGTTGTAGCAAGGGCTGCATTCTGTAGCAAGTTCCACAGCAGCAGAATGATAGCACAAATTCCCGAGCCTAGAAGTCTAACAAGGGTTTCTCATACTGCTCTGTCAGTAAAACTGCATATTTCCTTAGCCTCCCAAACATTGCAGTTTTGCTGCTTTCTGAAGGCCAGAGAATTACGTGTGTATGTACAGAGTCATGGACTGTATGCATTACAAGCAGGTATTTGTGCTATCTGTTGAAAGAACAAACTTGCTTTCAGTAGCATCTTCTCAGCTTTTAATCATAGCTATGTGTCCATGGTAAAATTCAAATAATTTTATTCAAAATGTACTCAGCAGTACATTTATTTCAAAGGGTTAAGAAGTCATGATTAAATGTCAACCTATTAAGAGAGACACAAGAAAAATGGCTCCATTTCTCAAATTGCTACATTAATGACAACTTTGCAATATAAAAAGGGTTTAATATTGAAGAATTGCATGTGCTGAAGTGAGCTGATAGAATTTATCTTTGTTAAGTGATGACAGCTGTGAATTTGTTCCCACAAAGGAAATCTTTAACTGGTGACAGCTAATTGAGAAAGGCAGAACATAGTATGAAATTTATTTCCACTTTCTTCCTCTGCAGAGAAGCAAAGCCAAGAGTCTGGCATTATTTCTTCCTGAAGACATCTTCAGTGGCCTGTTTTACACTGATTCATTGCTATTCAATGCACTTACTTTCTATTTATTCCAGTTTCACTATAGCTTTAGGTAGACAGTAAATCAGCCTCACTCAATGTACACAATTAATTTCCTATCTATGAAACAGGACTAGAAACCTACAACTTTACTTGTCAGCAAAGTAGAGGGGTATGAGGGGACTGGATTTAGGTAAGGGTAGGAACAGTAGTAACCAGAATGTGACAAACTTTGTTTAACACAAGTCGTAGCATTTATTTTGGAGATTGACCAAAGGGAAAAAAAAGCCTCATTATTTTGTAAAAAGAACAAAACAGGTGTCTGAACAAAATATTTTGTCTTCAGTTTGAACTGTTCTTAGAAATAAATGTCATCTTATACCACCACACTTAAATATGCTTTTAAAATTTAAAAAGAAATAAAGGTTTTAACAGTATGCTTTTCAAATAAATAACCTAGGGATAATGCATTTAAAAATAACCTAGGGACAATGCATTCGTAGCAGCATTTAGGTACATCTGCATGTTCAGCTTTTTGCCCCTAAATTTTGTGCAAGAAAAACATACCCAGTTTTTAATAACTTGTTTCTCCATGTAGATATGGCCAATAATACAAGTAAGCTGAATATATGGTGGCTTCAGCCAAAGGATAGCCACTGATGCTGAGAATGGTAAAGACTTTATTCTTCTCAGTTATAAAAATATCTCTTTTGCTTTGTTTTCTGCCATGTTAGTGAATTAAAGTGGTTCATCAAGTGGCCTGACAATTGCCTGAGCTAGCAAAAAGAGAGGAGGTGGGCTGTAGCACTGGGAAAGGGGTGGGGTGGTAGGGAACAGAGAAGGCTTCCCTCCCTAAGCAGCAGTGAGCCCCTTCCCCTGCCCACCAGGCTGTAGCCCCTACCACTGCCCCACCTGAGCCCCACCAAGAGGGACTTGAGCCCTGCTATGCTTGGTTCTCATGATGAAAATTCATGGTGTGGAGGAATTATGCAACTGAGATACACAGGTTCCAGCTTTTAGGGGGCATGGAGACTGCTAAGATAGGCTCTATCTAACATTCCATTTCTGCTTGGCCTTAAGAGGGATGGAAATCCACAATCCCACTTTACAAGGGGACATGTCGTGCTGTGAACCCCAGAGGCTGGGACAGAGGGCAGTGGAGGGTGACATGCAGTGCACAACTCCTGTACATATGGCAGCTGAACAAGGATCTGACTGTCCAGGCTTACTGTGCTCTGCCCTGCTTCATTGCTCTGCCTCTATTTCACACTCCACACATTGCTGAACTTCAGTCATGAACTGTATTGATTTTTGTTTTGGAGCAAAGCCCTGTGCAGTTAACAAAAGGGCACACTTTAGGTCAGAGAAACTCTCAAAGAGACTCCACTTTTATCTCTTTTCACTCTGCCAAAACAGGCAATTATAACCAGCTCTGCACTCCCAGTGCACCCAAGTTACCAGTGCTGTCTGTTGTCCTTTCTCCAGACCCCAAGCTCTGTGTAAGTAGAGCTTCCAGCTGTGACTTTACACTCAGGCTTCCAGTTCCAGCAGCCCTGGCAGGACTGATTCCAGCTTTCACCAGCACCACATGCAGCTCATCCCACTCAGCAGTGGGATTCCTCAGTCCCTGTGTTATCCCAGCTTCAAGGTGTGGGTGCCAATGAATGACTTTTGAAAAAGTAGAGATTGATGCAACCACACCATCATTTCCCTCAGCTTACTAAAAACAGTGGCCTCATGCTTACAAGACATCATGCATTTTTTATTCCCATATGAGAAATCCTGATAGGAGATACCTGTGTGATCTGTCTGGCCCCACTTGCTTCCCTCCAGGGTAATGCAGCACTACTCTCAGGAGGCCAAAACATCTCACCTAAAAACAGCTTCTGCAGTTGAAGTAGCCCACACTGAAAGGAGATTTTTGCACAACAGTCACAAAAGAACCACCTTGGCAGACTTATTTTTTAAATTTGTTTCCTGGTGGCAGACACATCAAACCCCACTCCACCTTGCAGAGGCACAAGAGCAGCAGTGCTCTCCCTCCAGCACGATACAGGAGATGTGCTGCTGTTACTTACCACTGCTGCTGTGTACATCTAAGTCTCTGTTTCAGACCAAGAAAACCAATGTCAAGTTTCTAAGAGAATTTAATCCATGGGATTTATGGCTTTTTTCAGGAAAAACCCTTAGCTCTGGTACCAACACAGCAATACCTAAATTGTGAAAGATTAACAGAATTCATTAGACTTATAGGTTGCTGAAAACAGATTTAATAACAGTGTGTTTTGATTGCAAATACCACATCAGTTGGTGTTCAACTTGCAACAGTCTCAAGTACCAAAATCTGTTTGCACCTGAAGCTCCCCTGCTCTGGCCTGCCCTGTCGGTTCAACAGTGAGTGGCACCATCTGACTAAGAGCCAGGAAACTCCTGTATAAAGGGGCTTCAGAAAGAGCTGTGAAATGTGAAGCTTCGTGCAATCTCAAACATGCAAGCATGATGCTTACATGTAACAAAGTGAGACAGCCACCCTTTTATAACTTTTGCATTTTGGTCCTGCTGTATGTGCTGTACTTGAGCTGCACTTGAGCTTTGATTTGATTTTCCAATACAGAAATAAGACATTCCATTTTGTAAGTTTAATACACATGTTGCACATATACTTTTCTTCTCTCCTTGAGCAAAAAAGGCAGCTTAAAAGACGAGTTCCCTGTGCTGGGAGGCTACACAAAATTCACATTTTGTACAGAAGGGCCCTCTGACTAAACTGCATAGGGAGCACAGTTAAAACTCCCTCCTGCCTCACAGCTCCAACCTTGTTATCTTGCCATCAGTCTGCAGGAACCAAGCTACAATTAATACATATATGGTGAGAGAGATTACTTACTAGGTTCACATATCCCTAAAGAGTAGGTTTTGAAGATGTCAAAGCTAAATTCCTTTTGAAAACCTGTCCTGTTCATAAGTTCTGCAGCGCAAAATGTGCTCAGTCTTTTAATCTTTATCTCAGCAGATGTGCTACTCTCAGAAGGCAAGAGTGCTCTGCAAAATTAAAACAGTTGTTACTGAAAGGGCAGAATACAACCAACATTTGCACGTGATCTAGAACAGAGAAAGAATGCAACTGCATGAGGTTTTCATACTAGCAAAGGCTGGCTGCAGAAGGCTGGGAATAGACTTAATGATAGAACAAGACTAGAGAAAGAGGAGTATGTCCAAAAAAACCCAGGTAAATTAGGTATTTGACTATCCCTAAAGAAATTTTCTATAAAAAAATTCAAGCCAGGAATTCCAGTATACCTGCTGGAACTCCCTTGAAGAGAGTCAGTTTTATGACTCACCAGGAATGTAACCCTCATTATCAAAGGAGGCTCAGCCTGCTCCTGTGTATTCACTCTGCATTGGTGCTCAAAGTGGTCTGGGGTTTATTCAGTGATGTTTGAAACTCTGGTAGAATAATGTCACATATAAGAAGTTTGTCAACTATGTGCCACACTAGAAATGAAACAAATCCCTTGCAGGATCACAAAGTACTTGCAACACATTGCATTAATTCCATAATAACAAAGCAGTCTGAGTGAGACAGGTTGTTCCCTACCAAATGTAATGTTTCTGCATGGTGGACAAAACCACCTGAGCTAAATTTGTTTCACCATATGCATGGCAATGAGACATGAAAAGTTATTCACATAGAAGTACCTGAAAACAGAACTGCAGGTTCCCACAAATTCCCCATAATTACCTCTTCAAAACAGTTGCATGAAGAATTTCTTAAGATGACAGCCAAACAGGAAAGGGATATAGACATAAAGGGACACAGACACAACCATGGTTCAAGTGTAAAGAAAATACCATTATTCTTCCAATTAGAAACTAGTAACCAGGCAAGATAACTGATGAGTAAAACGTCCCTTGAAACTGGAAGAAAGGATAGAAGTACTTCTAGAAAAGATGCAACAGTGAGAATAGTTGTTCCATACATCAAGCCTAAAAGACAGCATTACCTTCAAACACATACTGGAACACTGTAGGCACAAACACATGCTGTGGTCAGAATTGTACAAGAGAGTAGTGTTGGAGAGCTTGATCAGGGACAGGCTTTCTCAGCAGAGTAAAGGAAAGATCCATGCTCCAGGTTCTTGTGAGCTTTGGAGAACTGACATGCTCCATGTTGTAAAATACAGTGAAAGCCAAACATTCAGACCTCAGATGATTTGGATAGATAATGGTACAAATTTTTACATGATCCTGTACCATTGGCCAATACCCTTGTAATACTGGTTTGACACTGCCCAGCAGGTGGGGCAGGTGACCAGCAGAAGAATCCTTGCTGACAAATTGCATTGCATCCAATTTTCCTGGGGCCTTCTGGGCCACAAGTTCACCTGCCTGCAGGGAGATGGGATCCCTACACCAACTCTGCTGTGGGGCATCTGCTTTCCCACTGTGGATAATATATCCTGAGGAAGAGATCCTGGCTCCACAAAACAGGGAACAGCTTTGCAATCATCACAGTTGTGGACACGATTTTGTCCTGAAGGTAGGCTGGGGCACTGAATGGGATGACAGCAAACATCCCAAAGCACAAGCCTGCTCCTGGAGGGTGTAAGCAACACGGTAGAGAAGTGAAAACAGAACACTGAAGTGAAACAGAGCACTGTCATGGTGCGGCCACATCACAAGACTTTAATGAAGGCAGACAAAAGATGCCAAAATACATACCAACGTAGTCAAAGGGCATGGTTAAACTGGTGTCTGGTGCTGGTTGTAGTGTGTTTTTAATCAACTTCAATCCATAATAAAATTCATTTTACAGGAAATTGCAGCATCTTCAATATCAACAGTATCTGTACCAAATGCATTCCACAGCTGTTTTCTGAATGTTACCTTAAATATTACATTAGGATGAACAGTACTCAAACAATTAAGTATTTCTGTTGTAACATTTTCTAAAACAGTATTTTGTGCAAAGCAATCTTAATGTGGTGCTTACCTCAGATGCATTAGTTTCAGAGTGCAGCTCTGTAGCCCATTGTATTAGAGGATAAATGACAAGCCATACATCTAAGACTAACAATTTTGAATTTTTATACAATGCACATACTGTCATTTTCCGCTATCGTACAGCATTATGTACTTCAGAAATGAACCAAACATAACCTTCAAATACACTGTGGCAAACTGTACTGGAGATACCAAGTTCCAACTCAAAGAAGGTGAAGGAATCTTGCTGTGAAATAACAAAGCTGATCATCTTCTTGGTAAGGCATTTACCAGACTCCAAATCAAAGACTTGGCAGAAAGGTTCTTGAAAGTTACATTGTAAGCCAGGCATGGACTTTTACCCTTTAAAATCACCTTCTTTGGTGACAGGCATAAGATTAAAGATTCTGGGTTTGTTTTTTAAAGGAAGGCAACCATAATGCATTTTTAAATATCAATTCTGATTATCTGCCGCCCCATCTCCCCAGCTTATCTGACCACGTTTCACTGCAGGATTAACCATCACTGCAAAACTTCTTACCTACAGACATGACTAGTCACAGTATTGGGGTTTAAACCCACCACTGCCTCAGAGTGTGTGTTACCCTCGTGTCATTTGTATAGATGCATGCTGTGAGTAAACATGACCTGATGTAGCCCACACTTGGATCAGACAAGGCTTCCACAGGGAAAAAGGATTATTGTAACAGGAAGGGCAAACATTCACAGAAGTCCTACCAGTGGGTCCAATTAGTAGATCCAGTTGTATGTCCTTGCTACCTATTAATATGAAGCATTGCTCCTCACACAGCAGATGGCATGGGCTGCTGCAAGAGACTCATGCCAGAAGATCATCACTAAAAATTCTGTAACAAACAGCACCTGGAGAGGTGCAGGTATTTAAGCTAGATCAGAATAGAGTAGAAAAGGAGTTACATATGAGCCATTACTGTTCCAGCACCAGAAAGAGGCCTTCTTGCTGTTCACCTTTTTATTTTATGTTTGACACAGCTTAATTTTCCAAACGCCCTTGTGGTTAACCTTCTTTACAAAGTATAAATACCATTGTGGTTAATTGTGAAATGCCCTTGTGGTTAACCTTCTTAACAAAGTATAAATACCATTCCATTCTTACACAAAAGAAACGCAGCTGTTTGTTATATACACACACCTTGACAGCAATTCCTTGAAAAAGCAGTGCAACATGAAATTACAGAGCCAATGCCCACAGAGCACCTCTTTAGCTGCAGGCCAAGAAGTCTCTGCTGAGAAAGGCAATCTCTTAAAGTAAAATTCTTACAGTAAAATGCTTTTACCGAGTTCATAACATTTGAATGGGATAGTCAGAACTGTGTGACATGCTGTCATACCATGAATTAATCATATTCTGGTTTACAAACTGTAGTTGCTGCATTTCAATGAAGCCATCCAATGGAGAATGGAACTGCTTGAATACATCTCACTGGCATAAGGATGTAGCCTTGCTGGATGACACGTTATTGACTGAATTTTCAGACATGGAATATACTTGAGAGTAAAATGAAGACACGAGTGAGATCAAAAAAGGTTTTGGCAAATATTTTTATGTTAACTGTTTTGGTTTATGGCTTGTTATAGCTTTTTTGGTTTCCTTACGAAATTCCTGCACAGCAAAAGGAATGAAGAATTCCAGAAGAGAGTTGACCTCCTTCAGTTCCAGACTGTATTCTGCTGCTATTTTCTCTGCAGTCCATATTTGAGGTTGAAGTTTATGATTATTAAGAAGTGTCAGAGCCTCCACAAGGGAAATTTTGCCTTTGGGAACTTTGTTAACATCTAGACCTTCCAAGTGGCCTAATTTTGTAAGTCTCTTTTCCTCCAGTTTACTTGGAAGATGTTCACCACCTCCATCTTTTACCTAATTGAGGGAAAGAAAACAAAAAGAGCTCAACAGCAGTTCTGTTTACTATGTATACCATAGCAGCTAAGCTGCTTTCCTAAATATTTTTTCTGTTTAGCTTTTCCTGTTAGCTTTTCCCATTTTTTTAAAAAAAGCTTAGCCAGCCTAGCTTCTTCCACAGCCATTCTACAGAGTGTCAGCTCCCAGCCAAATGCTGAAAAGCTCCCATTCACTGCACTTTCAGTGTTGTATTGGCTTGGCAGCCCTTCACACAAGGCAAACTACAGATTCTGGTAGGCAAATGTAAATCCAGATAACCTAATACTTGGTACTGATTCACTGGAAGAGACAAAAAAAAAATCATACAACAAATCGGTATCCTTCTGATCCCACTGGAAAACTTTTTCATGTAGTCTCTCTCCCTTTCCTTTTGTTTTCAAATTTTAGTTTTCCTACTAAAAGAAATCCCTTCTTTTGCTTTGTCTAGAGAACAAGCTTTCCTGCTCTTTTGCAGCATATGGAGTTTAATTGCCATGACTACTGCAACATGTTGACATGCAAAGTCTCTTCTCTAAAGTCCCTTCATATTTCTAAGTAATCTCCAAAACAGCTTTCACTTCCTCATATTTCCTTTTATTAACATTTAATCAGGGAATCACACTAAAAAAAAGACACAATTAATCTTATCTTAAATTCAGCAGTATTTACATAATAATCAGAGCCCAGTACCACTGATTATTACACAGACACTCTGTACTAACTCAGATGCTGAGCAAACTGATGTGGATCCTACAGCACCTGTGTGTCTGTTTCTGAGCTACAAGGAATGTCTGTACTCCAGGTCTTCTGCTTTTTGCTAAAACTGTGCTTGGATAATGAATGATTTTCAACTCTTAATTAGATCACCTGTCTCTGGGAATCTGCCACTTCAGGGCTCCCAAGCTGGTGCTTTTCCACTTACCACAGGCAGACAGCCCAAACATACACAGAGGTGTGTGCACATCATGTACACAATGCACAAAGTCATCGGGATAACATCAGGAATGGGAGAAAGCTTTTCTATTGCTTTGCCCACGTGTCTCTGTGATTACACTTCAATTGTGCTCTAACAGCTGCAAGCAGACACAAGGGCACAAGGGCAAGTCTGTGGCAGCAAACTCAGAGTAGGCATAGAATCAAGCAAAGATCTGCTCCACTTTGGCTTTTTCTCAAATCTCTCTTGACAGCTTCATACATGAATATTCAAAGATACTGAATTTAGGCCTTCAGCACTTCAAGATTAGAGTCCTAACCTCTGTGGTGGAAATTAAGGATAGAGATTTCTTGAAAATTTCAGGTAGAAACTACAGAAATCTATTTGAATTTTAAATATTTTTAGACTTGAATACCATATAAATAGCAAATTAGAGAGACTTAGGGATTTTGCTAGCTGACTATAAAATTTTTATTGCTGAATAAAGCAGCTGGAATAAAGTGGTCCTATAATGAAACAGGTAAACCACACAAGCCACAGCACGGTACGATAGAAAAGAGGACACTGAACCCCAGTCTGCATTTTACAAAGGAGTACGCTTAGCCTGTCAAGTAAAAGATTGCAGCCAGTAGCAATAAGGAAATGATGACCATACAACCCACAAGATTATGTAGAAAAAACCTAAGGCACTTCCATGAGCTGGATAAAAAAAGTCTCTGCATTGTGTAACATTTAATGGAGTTAAAGAGTAAACATATTTGTCCTCTACCACATCCCTGCTCCCCCAGCAGCCCGTCTTTTCCAACAACTCCACAAATGACCTCTGGCAAACTACTTTATCTTTGCAAGAGCCTCAAGAAGTATCCTGCCTCATAGGAAGCAGAAATAGGAATTTAGATGAAAAACAATTAAGAACAACAAAATGTTAAAAAGGAAGACTGTGTCAGCATTTTGAACTTGCATAATAATTACAATTTGTCACACATTCAAAACCTGGGGTCAGACACACCCAGTGTTATTAATGTATAGAAGAGTAATAAAAACACCACTTTTATCTACTGAAAAAGGTAAGTTTCATGCACAAAGAGCATTTTTCTTGACACAGGCTTTGTGCTGAGTTTGAAGACCACAAAGCTGCACTCACCCGCACCGGTGGATCTCTGGAGTCGACATAAACGTCTTTGAGCAAGGTGAGGAGCCTATCGTCCTTTCTGAAAACTTCTTCTTTTATCTCTGGGCTATCTAAAGGCAGTGAGAAGAAGAAGGGAAGGGAGAAAAAAAAAAAAAAAAGAAAGAAAAGATTGATCTGACTCAAATCGTTTCCTTTAGTTCTTCCCCAGCGGCACGGCATGGCTCCCGCAAATGCACCTGCCCTCTGGGGAAGGTGTCATTCCTCTCCCACAGCCCTGACCTCAGCGACACGGCGGGGCTGGGCCTGTCACCCGTCACAGCACGGCGGGACAAGG